TTTGAATATTTTATCATTGAATATGTAATTTCTGCAAAAAGTTGTAATGGCAATTTATTTGATGTTAGATTCCTTTTAAAAACTAAATTATTTCAGTTTAAAAAAATGCATATAATGATTTTTTTTAAATCAGTTTTAATACAGAATTTTATTATTGGGGTCATTTTTACCTACCTGTCATTTGGGGCCATTTTTACCAGGGCCATTTTTTCCGGGGCCATTTTTTCCTGGGCCATTTATTCCGGGGCCATTCTTACCGTACGTAAAGATGAATTTGGTAAAAAGAATTTTGATTTACTGTATGAGAAGGCTTTTGTACAGGAGATACTTGATAAATCCATAAATAGATCTATCAAATATTTGATAGCTGAACAAACAGCCTGTACGATGCTTAATCTTAGTTTATTGTAAAACTATAGTTTATATTGTCATGTTAAAGTGGTTTTAATACACTGCACTAAGACTTTCATTAAATTTTTCCACAATCCAGAAATCTCACCAAAGTTGACCTTAATATTAATCTTAGTTTACATTTTGCTCAGGGTCTACAAATGCAAGCAGTTGATTTAAAGTAAAAGCGCTGATACGATCTTCGAACTTTGTAAGCCTTGACTGATTAAACATTTTTTTGGTTCAATGAAAAGGCATATAACTGGTCAATTTCTCATGAACTGTGCAAACAAAGACTCTGACCAAGCCTAAATTGAATACAACCTTTTAACAAGAAAATTCTATGTATTGAAGTTGAATACAGCCATTTGTTATGTTAATTGTCCATTTTATTATCTCTGATTATACCTAGATCATGTTTCAGCTTCTATTGAAGGAGAAGCTGCTTTACCATGCGCTTTTTCCGAACAGCGTAAAAGCAGTTGTTTCTTGCTCAATTTTTTCCTTCCCTCACTTTCCTTAGGTGTTCTTGCACTAGGTTTTACAATATTCTACATCTGCTTTTGTCTCCTGTCATGCTTGGATCTTCTTCAAACATGGACAGATTAATTTTTATTATATCACTGATGTAAGTCATTTTTTATTCCTTGTTTTGCGTACTTATTTTTTTAAAGATCAAATTTTGTTTTCTTACTTAGCAAATAGATTCGCCAAAAACACCCAGATGGAGGAGAAAATAAAATAAAATTTTAATGGTGAATGTAAAATGGAATGGTTAAATGCTTCAAATTTATATAATTAGGAAGAAATATACATCTCAACTTTGGAGATTTCAAGGCAGCAGAGGGCGTAATAGAAATAAAGAAAAAACTTTTATTTTTTTTTCTGAAATTTACATTTTTTTTGTTTCGACAGGTGCGCTAATTGGTCAAAAATTTTAATTTCATTTGAAATTGCCAATATTTGCGTTCGGCGGGTTTGCAAACAAGGTATAAAAAAAGTCTTGCCTAAGTAGAGTGATTATGCCAGTTGCGAATTGTCAACTAAAAATAGAGTTAAAGCTTTTTGTGTCTGCTCCTTGGGGGAGCAAGTAGACACAATGTTGTCGTCTGGCAGTTGAACTTTGTAAGAGTAAATCCGGTTGAACTTGTAAGAGTAAAATCCGGTGGAGGAATATGTGGGATGAGTCATGAGCTAAAGATAAAAATGAAATAAAGCAAGTTTATGAAATGCCATGCTAGACAAGACCTGTACCTAGTTACACAGTAAGTTATCAATTAAATATTGGCAACACAGAAGCTGCTAGTTAAGACCTGTCCTAGAAAGTTCACTATTACAAAGTCGCAACTATCTGGTAATATGGATGAGTTAAAAGTACTGTAGCCAGAAACAAAACAATGTGTCAAGCAGTTAAACCCACTTTCCTGCTGGGAGCCTATCCCTGAGTATATTTGTGTCAGCTACATTAGGATTGGTAGAGAAGTTGCTTATAGACAAATACAAAAAATTGTTGGCCTTTCCTGAAAAACAGACAAGCATTGTTTTTTTCTTCTCTCCATTTCCCTATGTATTTGCGCTAGGTTCATTCTACTCGCCATCCATCTTGGGTCTTTTTTTATATCAATGAGTATACGTTCTTAGATAACCAGCTAAAATGGTCATGACAATATTAAGCCTTTATTTTAAGGTATGTTCATGACTAAACACTGGAAGTGAATAATTTTTGGCTTTTCCCGCAAGAGCGGAAGAGCAATTGTTTTTGGCCCGGCCAGATTGTTTTTCTTTTCATTTCTCTCTTTTTGCACTAGGTTTATTCTACTAATTTCATCTTTTAAATTCCACAAATATAAATACTGTATTTTGAAATGTATAAAGTATAGTATTTCAATGGCCTCCTAAATATATTGCCTGCAATATGATCAACAGGTTTCATTCAATTGACCTTGTCAGGTTAATCCATTCACCTTCATTAATATGCAAATTTTAAAATATCATCTTCTACTATACTAATAGAAAAAGCAAAGTTTTTGACTTGTTTTTATATTTATTTGAAGCAGATCCAGAATTCAACCAGTATACGTGATAGTGTCCAGGAGTCAAAGTTTATTGCAACTGGATCTACTTGATACAATAGACAAAATGATATGTAAACATTTATAGTATTATGTGTTTTTCATTCATACTGCATAGTTCACAGCCATTAAATTCAGCTTTGAAATGTCAGCAATTTTGAAGTACAGTACTCTACTTCAAGTATTTGAATGGCATTGTTCAATGGTCTCCTGAATATTACTGCTTGCAAATACAATCATCAATTTTCTGTTTGACCTTGAAGTATAAATAAATGATTAATATTTTTTGGTCTTCATAATATGCAGGTACTCCACCAAATGATCAACAACATTAGTCTGGCTACATTACAGGAAATATAAAACAAATATTGTTTTTTTGTTCAGATTTAAAGGTATGCACAGCTATACCTTATGCAGGTCTAGAAATTATTCCTCTCTCGATTATTCATGGTTGGGGATACATACTGTTTGTTATGAATCATGTCTAGTGCTTCTTTTGTTTGCTTTCAATGTGTCTACTTGGTAAAGTGAGAAAGTACAATAGTTGCTGTTTCCATCGACCATCTTGGATTTGCCATCTCGAAGAAAAAAAAACTGCCCTCATTCTCCTTTTCTTCAAAATATTAGGGCGAGAAACTCCTTTTTTTTACTTGGCCTTTAAATTAGTATTGAATTTTATTACAATTTGAGTTTATGGCAAAATGACCCAATAAAGCTTTAAAATGTTATATGTATGAGTGCTATTCTTTCATCTGAAACTAATCAGCGGACCCCTCAAGTTTAAATAATTATTGCAATTTTATCAAATTTGAGTTTATAGCAATGCTTATTATAGTACTAGGCTTTACTTTAGAGATTTGAAATACAGTACTGATCCACATAGACTTGCCTGTAGGTGAGGTTTAAAATTGAAATAATTTTATCAGTCACTAAAATTTCTAAAGAGGCACTATAATATATGAAAAAACATCAAAAATATAATTTTAAAAAATATTCACTTCTGCTCATTTAAAGATCAAAAATTCTTAAATTAATTACTGTATGATCTATGTAAAACAATTTAGGAATGTATTGTATTATTTGTAATGTCTTTAAATTAGCAATAAAAGTATTATATCCTAATGTTTAATTGATAACTAACTTTAATTACAAAATAAGGAAAGCAGTCATTATCATCATCATTATACCCTAAAAGTCGTCTTTGGGTGGATTCGCTTGTGGCTGATGGAAGCATTCGTTGAGAACCTTTCCTGTATTAATTATTTATTTGACTTGTGAAACAATATTGATGAGACCACAAAAAATAGTACCACTCTTGAAATTTTTAAAAAGTTAATTTCAACATAATTTTTTAAGTGTACAGTTTTTTTTGGTAGTATCTTTTTTTCTTCCTTATCCATTATTTGTATTTGGAAGTAGTTCTTGTTTGATTTCATGATCTGATACCATATGTTAAAGGTACATATACGGCCTCGTGGAAGAACACCTCCTTGGTGAACGACCTTCCGTTGTAAAAGAAAGATTATTATTATTATTATTATTATATATTTACATTATTCTATTCTTGGAAGACTTCAGAATGATGTACAATAATTTTGGCAGGCATTGTGTTTATATTCATTACCTACTAAAATGTAGCTGATGCCATGGTCCCAAGATTCTCCAATAAGTGGATTTAGACTTTGATCTCTACCGGGGTTGAAACGATTAGCTGCATGATATGAGTCATCCTTGTACAGTAATACATAAAAAAAAAATATTTTCTTTGCTGATGTTAAAGTTGGGTTTAATGCATCCAATCTCCTTTGATTAAATAATTAAAATATATCAATTACAAGTACAGAATCAATGAACGTAATTTTAGAAACTGAAGAAAAAAACACTATAAAATTATCTTTAAAAATTATATTGTGATTTTAAAGTAACAAAAATTATCAGCTTGAGCTTATATTAGCTGCAGTATTATTGCTTGCTCTAATTTTTAGATAGATAAGAATCAAAAACTTAAAGTGTCTGTAATGGCTTCTATAGTTCTTATCTTTTTTGTAATATAATTATTTTAAACATTTTTTATAAACACTATGTTCAAGTTGCTAATTTTTGTTACTTTAAATTATATTAATTTTAAAATTGATTTTAATGATGTTTTCCCATTTTTCCTGTGGACAATACGATACGACTTTTATTTCGATCAAAATTCATTAAAAATATATCATAATAATAAATGAGATACGGATAGAGGAGATACAACGGAAAGCAAACAGCCTGTAAAATATTGTATCACCTTTACATAAAAATAGTTAAGCAAATTTAGAACACGAACAAAGACAAACACACACCCACCCAGGATGGAAACATAAAAGCATGAAATCAAACAACTGGGAAAAAAATGCATACAGAGATTTAGAAAGCAATGCAGTCTTTATTTAGAAAACAATACATCTTTAAAAGGAAGCCATAGATAATGATCAATGATGTTTAGGTAAAAAGAAATAATATGTTATAAATTTTGGTCGTTTGTTTTTTTTTTTCTTTCAGCCTTTTGAAAACCACTGTAAAAAATGTGCAATAGTTTCAAGCTCTGGTCAGTTACTCGGCAATGGACTGGGCCCAGAAATCGACAGTTATCCCTGTGTCATTCGTATGAACACTGCCCCCGTACGTGGCTTTGAGAAAGACGTTGGCCGCAAGACTACCATTCGTGTTTCATGTTTCATATCCACAAAGGGCCTTATGTCCACCCCCTCACTGTTCACTGGGGAAGGGAAACCAGAGAAAGTTCTGATGTGGGGACTGCATCACCAGAAGAACTCATGGGCTTTGAGAAATGCGAAATCTTTGAACGCCAAATATCGAGATGTGGAGTTTTTCGCACAGGAACAAGCGGGTGAGGTATTTGCCGGAGAAATCTTCAAAGAGGAAACTGGCCAAGATAGGTAGGTATAGTTCATCTTCTAAAAATAGTTATCATGATTCCTCTGTCATAAGCCCATCCCATTGAAGACAAAAAATAGGGCCAATTTTGGGGAGGTAAGGTGCGTTTCTACCCAGGGAATCTCCATTACAGGCAAAATTAGGCCAATTTTTGGGGTGGGCTTCTACCCGGGAATCCCCTTTCTAATTAAATGGTTATTTTTCAGCGCTGTATGCCGAATTCAAAGCCAATATTTGATGTTTTTCTCTTAATATTTTTTTTAAGGGCTTTTTTTGCCGAAGAAAAATAAATTGGGCATAAAGTAGGGGTTCTTACAGTACAGTACCTGAGGTAGGGTTATACCCTAACTGGATAGTTCCTACAGTAGGGTAGGCCTACTGTATGCAGTAAGGTAGTTAATTTTTCTGTTACAATAATATGTAATGTCATTTTCATCACAGTTTTTGCCAAGGTTCTTTAAAGTTCTTTAAGCCAAATAGACTAGGAAAAAAATAAAAAAAGAGGCCTAGAAATCAAGAGGGGGAGTGGAATGTTAGAAGTAGTCAATATAGCCAGATATCCTAATTAATCCGTCCTGGTCACCCTAAGCCCTGTTGACACTTGATTTTTCACCTGGTATACAAATGGCGGCCATTTTTCAAAATGGCCACCAAATTTATTTAAAATGTGCATATAATTGGAACTAAATAAGCTACAGATATGATGTTGGTGTCTAAAATCATAATGTCTATATAGGCAACAAACCAGACATATAAAAACTACTGTCACTCATGCCAGAATGGAACATAATTAAAAAATAGGTGTTTATTTGTTTTAAAATATCCGCAAAATATACTTAAAATGTGTATAAAATAAGAATAAGTATATAAACTCACCAAAAAGTAGTCGTGTTTGATATCATTGGAAAGCTCTTCCAATGCTGAATAATGTATTGCAGTTTATATATCAGAAACGGTGTAGTGTTTCATGTATTGTCCCATAAAGTCCAATTATGGCATATCATATTAAAATAAACAGGACCCATTTGCGTAACTCGTACTCCTACTACTACCTAACACATTACTACCAAGCCTTAAGTAACGCATGTGCTTTCTGGGCGAAGTCCGAGTCCAAATGGGCCCTGGAGAGGGCCCTGGAGAGGGTTAGATACTTTTACTTACAGTAACACTGATACTCAACACTCTCCTACAACACCTTAACAATACGTAACATTTTCTATAATTTCCGAAAAAACCAAATAGACCAAAATCCCACAAACACAATATTTGGCAGATTTATTTTGAAGGGGTTCTTTTAACTATGCCCCTGGATGCCCCACTATGGAGGTTTGACCAGTTATGTAATGCCTGAGTGCTTTCTAGGGAAACGCTTACTTCCTCCATGTTCAAATGAGTCCCTGAAAGGCGATAGACCCCTACTTACTACTACCGAGCAATCTAATAATACAACCGCTTTTGACAAAATATTTTCTTTTAACTTTTAAAAAAATGTATGAGCCCCGGACGGCTGCATAACTACCCACCTTAAAGTCCGCCTCCGACTTTAAACATGTCAGTAAATAAAGAATAAAATACATGGTTATCTATCATAGTAGGCCTATTATTAAATATTATACACAGCATGTTGAAATCGATTAAATAATGTATCAATGGGACCTTAAAGGACGATCGGGTCATTTTATTCAGATTGGCCTTATCATGTTTCAGAGCAACATACTTTTTTGGTATTAACGTAACACTTTATTAAAAACAATCAATGAAGTTTGTTACTCAAACGTCTTTATATTGATATTTTCAAGCCTATTAGATGACCTGAAGAAAAAGTGATCCAGAAGTCGTAGGCTTGCTGTACAATATATTATGGCGAAAGTAAATTTTTGTCCGTCTCTGAATTTTAATAGTGTTACTGTAATAGAGCCT